GCAGAGGACACGAAACCGATTGAAGGGGAGAATGGCGACGCGGAGGTCAGCCCTGCCGGACCCGGCGGTGAAGCGTTGACGCAGGACGCAGCCGTCGCCCACAGTGCCGGCTCGGATCGCGGCGGCAGCAGCAAAGCTTCTGAGGCTGGGGGTTCGTCTGCAACGCGTTCGTCTGGCAAGGCGGAAGGCGGCGTTGACGTTGCCGCGGGGCACACGAATGCGGCAAAAGGCAGTGAAGAAGAGCAAGGCGGTGCGGAACGTCCAGCGACGACTGAACCCAACAGTGACTCGACAAACCCCGCGCAGTCCACTGCTGGCGCCGAGACCATCGCCGGGGCCCGGCCGCCCGAGAGCAAAGGGCAGACGCAAGGGGCCGCGGCGACGCAGAGCAGTGGCCAACCCGACGCTGTGCCGCCGCTGCGCGGAGGTGAGAGCGGCGGAGGGTCCCTAACCCCGGCGGAGGGACGCGGGACAGCAGCTGCCGAGGTGCAGCTGCAGGGCGGGGCGGCGGGCCCTAGCACAGTGACTGAGAGCGCCGCGCCTACCGCACGGGCCGATGCGTCCGACGTCGCTCCTGCGGTTACCAGCGATACTGTCGCCCCCGCTGGTGCGAAGGACGCTGTTTCCACATCGGCCAATCTTCCTTCTGCTAATACCGCCGCCTCCGGGAGCGAAGCGCCAATCAACGCGGACGGCAGTGACGCCACAACCGCTTTGTTTGTGCATGCCTCACCGCTGCTGCTGCTCACGGCTGCTGTTGCCTGCGGTGCTGGGCAGTGGTGAGGGGCAACCGCACACACGCACACACCCTGGCAGGGGCGACGCGTACGCTTTGTGCGCTCTGTTTGCTCCCCGTCCCTGTGGGACAACTCTGCTCTCTCTTCTTCTTTTTTCTTTCCTTTTTCTCCTTCCCCTCTGGTTGCTTTCTATACACAGTTCCACGTGCGACGAGTTTCCCCTCCTGTTTGCTGCTGTCAACCACCCACACACGCGGTGGCGCCCCGCGTGCCTCGCTTGGCCAGTCCGTGCGGGGCGCACAGCCACGAGGCCGCCACCGCGTGTGTGTGTGGGTGGGTGCGTGTGCGAGCTTGAGCAGTTTTTTTTAATTTTCTTAGTGCGGGCGGTGCATATACACGCTCACTGTCCTCTTGTGCTTCTGGACACGCATAAAGGAACCCCTGCCGAAGTAACTTTGTTTTATCTTCTTTTTTTTTTTGCTTCCCTGAGTCCTGCTGGGCTTCTACCTCTTTTTAAATGCTTTAATTTTGTGTGTTTGTTTGTTTGTTGTTTCTTTGGGGCAAATCACCGCGGCTCACGTTGAGTTTGTGCGCCCTGCCGCTGCCGCTGCGTGTCGCCGTGTCCTGTTTGCCCCCCACCGCCGCTGGCTGTGCCGCCGACACGCCTCCATTTCCCCCTCCTTCCTCCTCTTTCCCGCTAGAGGCACCGGTAGTCGACGGCGACGAGGACTCTTTTTTTTTTACTTCTCCGCTGCGGGGGCGCGGGGCGTGCGGCCGCCGCTTTCTGCGCCCTTTGCGGCGGGAGAGAAGAGGCGGGGTGTGCGGGTGCGGCGCGTGTGTTTGTGTGTGGTCTCCCCACGTTGTGGCCATTGCGCTCCGTCGCTGTTCCCTTTGCCGCACCGTGGCCATGGCGTGGGTGCACCTGCGCCGCAGTGAGGCCACCCAAAGGAGCGGGATGGACGACGAGGCGGACGCTTTGCGCACTTTGCGTGTGAAGGGCCCGCCCTCTGCTGACCTGCGCCGCGTTCTGCCAGTGGCGTGGGGAGGAGGGGGAGGGGAGGCCGCGTTGCCCGCGTTGGCTGTTTTGCGCTGGCCGCGATAAGCTCGCCTTTTCGTGGGTTCTGGGAGTGCGCCGGGTGCGGGGCGTGTGTGTGTGTGTGTGGCTGTGGGCCTCTTCTCGAGCATCCTGGCGGCTGCCCGTTCACGCCCCGTGGGCCGCCGTCGCGCAGCGTGTGAAGTGTGCGGGGGGCGGGCGAGGCGCCACAGACCCCCTTCGCCGCCCCCTTTTGTTCGCCTTTTCGCTGCGGGGGGCGCGGCGAGGAAGAGG